TGGAAATTGTTATGAGAGGAGGAGCAGCCGCTGGCGGAGGGACAAAGAGTGCAGAGGATGCTTAGAACGGAGCACTAGGAGGTTAGAGAGCATTATAAGCTCTTGTTTGTGAATACTATTATGCACCTTAATGCTATGTATTAGGGTGATCTCAAGATGATCATACATGCTGCTTGAAGTGACTTCCGTGCAGATGGTATTAGTTTTCTTATTTCACTCCTTGCGTTTTTATGAATTATTTGGCAAATTGATTACTTCCCAGAAGATAACGCTTGAATTCTTTTTATTTGGGATATTATTTTTTATCGGGGAAGAGACTAACTGTTTTGTTTGAGTAACTGTCAGTTTCCGAGTCATTAGGACTGATTTGATCAAATAAAAAGTTTTTCAAAGATCTCCCATTTGCTAGGATTAAAAAAAAAATTTTATTCATTTTCCCCGGATTCCTGATGAATAAAATATATTCAATTGAGAAAAAGCAATGGATTTTGTCAGATTTGATTGAGATATTCGGTTTAGAATTTTCTCAACATAAATTCCTGCAATTTTTTTCACTGCATTATCCTCTACATTCACGCACGAAAAAATTTACTAGAAAAACCTATCGAATTCGTTAGAAAATTCTATTGAATTTCTATTAAACTTTCTACTAGTTTTTGGCTGATTCTATTGACATGTTCAATAGAAAACATTCGATAGAAAAAGTCAACAGAATTCGATTTTTCTATATAACTTATTCTTTTCATTTATTTTCTCTAGAATTTGCTCGACTCAAATTTTCCAAGTTTTTTTCATTCTATTTTTGTTTTCTTCTCATCGAGAAAATCAAACGAAAAAACTTAGGAATTTTGAGCCGAGGAAATTCTATAGAAAATATTTCAATGTATAGAAAAATTGAATTCTATTGACTTTTTTTACTAAATATTTTCTATTGAACATTTCAATAGAATTGGTCAAAAACTAATAGAACAGTTCAATAGAAATTCAATAGAATTTTCTGACGAATTCGATAGGTTTTTCTATTGAATTTTTTCGTCCGTGTTATCTTGTCTCGTTAAGAAATTCGAGCAAAAAATCTGGAAATATCAATTTAAGGAATTTTATATTAGAATAGAAAGATTAAAATCCATTTATTTTCAGCTCAGTTCAGTTGATGCTCAGTGTCTTTTACAGTTTAGTACAGACCATACTATAGATTCAACCATTTTCAATCATCAAATTTGTCAATTAATTTGCGTGAGAAAAATCTGAAAAAAATCATGAATATTCAGCGTCATTGACATGAAATTTTGCATAGAATTATTATTCTTTAACATTCGTTGTTTATAAATAACTCATTTAAATCGTTTAAACTTTCGAAAACGTTATTTTTTAGGTATAAACTCGATTTCTAGTAAAATCCTGAATATGAACAAATGTAATGCGATTCCGAAGGAATGATTTTTATGGTAGAAAATTGATTGTTCATAAATTATTCATAGAATATGCTCGTAATACTCGTATTTTCAAAAATTTCTATTTTTTAATTATTTCCTCAATCTTCCTCCAAACGTAAACTTTCTAATTTTTTTTTCAGACTTTCAAAATGTTTTTACCGGTTCACTATCGAGATTAAAATTCAGACCTGCAAAGTTTAAATAACAAAATCCTTGGAAAATGTCCACAAACTTAGGGTCAAGTGGGGCTCAAATGAAAGCTTTGATGTTCGACTACAAAAGTAGGAAAGCATTTCACTAGAGAAAAAAAAGTCATTGAAAAATCAAATATTCCATTGCTTTTCTATTCAAATGATCTAGAAATCAATAAAATACTTGATTTTTCAGTTCAATTATTCTGTGAAAATTCAGAACAATCAGGGAACAATTCAGAGAAAAATTGAAAATTCATGTAATTTTGTTTCTGAATTCATATTCCCCGAGAAATTCAATCAAATTGTGAAATTTCCATCTCACTCCTACTGAAAACTCATGAATTTCCATGAAATCTCCTTGATACTTGAAATTTCATAACCATTTTTTCCCTAAATCCGATTCAATGCCACTCTCATCAGATTTACTATATCTTCCATGAAATTTCAAAAAAATTCTAACAGTACTTGGAAATCCTTAAAGGATTAACTCGCAGAAAAGCGGCGGAATTTCCTCGTAAAATTCAAGAGAAGTAAATAGAATTTTCAGTAAAGTTCTGGTGGGGACTCCTCTATTGATTTTTTTCTACAGAAAATTTAGTCGAATCCGTAAAACGGAATTATTCAGTCCTCAGTTAAGCATGGGCGAAATCAGTGAAATTGATGAAACAATTTTTTTTTCCTCTTAAATATTTCTTCATCTTCGTTTTGAGAGAATAAAGAGGCACCACAAAATAAAAGATGAGAAAAAAAGAGGAAAGAGGTTACACCAGGGGCGCCACAAAATTATTTCGTCTGGTTCTCACGTTCGTCAGGACACCCTGTAGATTATCTTACGTGGTGAGTTTTCGGCACAACGCCGGAGAAGACGCAAGATGCATTCCAATGCAAATAATGCGCCCGCGGGTCGCGAAGGAACGTAATCGTTGCAATTTCATGCTTCTCAGAAAATATTCAACTTCTTCGTCTCATTTCACCGGGTATTTCCTCATTTCACAGCGCGTTGCCCTCCTTCATCACCATAATTTCTCTTCCAGAATCATCTCATTTGCTCGTTGAAAAATAGCTCTATTTAGTTAAATAGATGGTGAAGGGAAGTACCAATTAGCTAATATGAATTACTCCTTGGGCAGGGGGCAGAACTTGATGCTCTGAGTGATAGTCACATGTGTGAAATGAAAATTGAAGTAGAAATTGTCCAGAATGACAAGTTAATTAATGTGGATGATCTATATGAATGTGAAGGTCTTGAAAATTCTCTTGATGCTTTTTCATCAATAATGATTTTACTTTCCAGTTCAATAGACGAGAATTTCATAAGTCAATCCTTTTAAAAGATGAAGAATATAACTTTTTTTTGTTATTAATTCCACAGATTAACTACAAGTTTTTGTTATACAAAATGCTCAGTGGAAACTGTTTTTTAGAACAAACTCTAGAATTTCATTTTTTTATGGAACTTTTTCTCTTGACACGTTTCCTATAGAAATTCTTCGACATGAATTTTCTAGGCTTTTTCAGTCATTTTTTCTCCTCTTTGCATTTGACAAATCAGACAAAGAATCTTGAAAAATTTCATCCGGGAATGTATAAAATATATCTGAAATATAAAATATTTCAATCGAATAAGTTGTACAGAAAAATAAAAATCTAGCAATTTTTTTCAATACAATATTTTCCATTGAATTTTTCAATATAGTTGGCCAAAAACTAAGAGAAAGTTCAATCGAAATCCAATGGAATTCTCTAGCGAATTCACAACGATTGTCAATTAATTTTTTCGTACGGGTATTCTCATAATGGCAAACGAAAAAGAAAAAGGGTGAAGAAATTATGTCATTATCTATTACTTCCCATAAAATATATATTTCACACGAGTCGCAGTTTAAAGTGGAAAATGACTTTAGGTATCGCGTTGTTTCATTACTTTATATTGTACCCGATGTGATGATTCTTCGCCTTGGGCAATTGTGTCAATCAAAGTCATTGTTTATCAACATTTGCACGCACATTCTACCTACAGAAATGGCAACCAAAGGTTGATCCGTTTCAATTTGGGAAGGGATTCTTAAACTACTTAATTGACTCATTTGTTCCTCATTCACAATTTTTCATCTACGGAGCCAGAGGTCCCGAGTTCGATATCTGGAACAGATCCCTGGAATTGAATTTTTCGGATTTTAGCCTTGAAACATCAACCAAGTGACAGTTTCACTGAAATTTCCGGGAATTTTGTCAGTGAAAATTCATGATTTTCGAGGAAATCCATGGAAATTATAAATTACAATTGAATTATTCCATAAAAATTAATGGAAAGAGGAAAAATCGGGCAAAAAAATCCTTAAATTTTCATTTTCTTGAAATTTCAGGGAAATTTCTTATTGAATTTTCATGTTCGTTAGTGACGCCGCGAGACATTTCATGAGGCATTACGAGACAAACTTTTGGAAAGATGATCTTGGTGTGAAAGAACATGGAAATCTATGCTCTCGTGTCAATCTCAAAATACGCAGTATCGACTCCTCTCGCAATGACTCCGAGTCAATTTATTTTATCTCGGTTTTCAGTTTTTTGCATTGTCTGTATGCAGAAAACCGAGACAAAAACCCAGATCTTGTATTAAAAATCACGAAAAGTTTGAGACCGAAATGAGATAAATTGACTCGGGGTCATCACGAGAGGAGTCGATACTGCATATTTCGAGACTGAGCCGAGAGCAATGATCTCCGTGTTCATTGAGAACGAGATCAACTCTCGAATGTTTTGTCTCGTAAAGTGTCTCGCAGCATCACTGATGTTCGTATTGAAAATTCATGTACACTACGGCATTTTCCTCTTTTTTCCATTAATAAATCAGCAATATCCTTGAATTTTCAGAGAAACTTGAAATTTCATAGCCTTTCTTCCGTTAAATTGAATTCAGTGTGATTCCCCGGAAAATTCAGATATTTTTTTTAACAGTGAACATTAACCAAATTCAGAAATTTGGAAAAAATTTCTAAAATTGTGTGAATGTTCAAATGAAAACATGAATTTTCAGGACCAAATTACCCTGAATTTTCAATTAATGTGCAATTTCAGAATATAGTTGTCCGAATTTTCCGGATTTCTATTGATTTTTATACAATAATTGAACTGCAATTCACTATTTTCATTCATTTTTTCATGAAATTGTGAATGTACAATGATAAAGTTCCGTGAAATTCCAGGGGAACTGTCAGTGGATAAAAATTTTCAAGAAGTGTACCCGACATTTCTGCCTGAAATTTTTAACAATGCGGTGATCCACAATAGAAACATTTTTTTCTGCTTTATAGGGTATTCAATCATTTGAAAACAAAAATTACGATATTTTAGTGAGTTCCTTTTTTAGGGTAGTCGGAGCGGTTGTTGTTGGGGCTGCGGTGTGCGGTCGCATCCCAGGATTGGGGAAGAGTCAGCGTGAACAGTGTAGAAAGGCGCCTCACGCGATGCCAGCAGTCGGCGAAGGCGCTGAATTGGGTCTTCGTGAGTGCCGACACCAATTCAGGCATCACCGATGGAATTGTTCGCACGTTGCCAATGATCGTGTTTTTGGACACGTTGTGGTTGTAGGTAAGTGACTGTATAAATTTTAAATTTCAAAATTCTACGGCCCGGTCCAATCATATCAACACAACAAGCTCTCTCCATAGAATAAAAATTGTCAATGACCCAAAATGCTCATGTGGCCATCCCGAACAGGATCTCAACCATATTTTGTGGAACTGCCCCAAGTACGAAAACAAGAGGGTTAGAATGATGCAAAAGATTCGAAAACATAGAATTGCCACCTAACATCAACCGTATTCTGTGCTCATTGAAGCTACCTGTTATAAAATCTATAGATAAGTTCCTGAAAGACTGTAACCTGAAAATTTAATGTCAAAACACAAAATGCTCTGTAACAAATCAACAATTGATACCGTAACCGCAATGTAAAGAACTATTTTTTAAAGGAAATAAATCCTATACGGATTTCTAATGCATTAATAAAAAAAAAAAAAAAAAATTCTACGGAAATTGAGAAAGCTGCTCCGGAGTAGGTGAAATAATTCGGGAGTAATTTCCGCGTGATTCGAAATCAAGACTTGCGTTAAAGCAATATTAATAAACACCAATTGAGTTGTTGAGTGCAACGAGCAAAAAAAAATTCCAAAAGCTTAACAGAAAATTATCCATCATTGATAATTTTTTCCGTGAAATCTAACTTTGTTAAGTGTAAGAAATTGATCAATCAAATTCTTTCTTTAATTATTTTAAAAAAATGATAATCCCTTGTTTGACTAGGGTGTTCGGATCTAACACGCCATTTCAGACACGCACGAACATGAAGTATTTACTGCAGAAGTTTGACACTGACGATAATTTTTATATTGGGCATAGTGGTTTTATTTATTTTTTACATTTTTTAAAAGATTTTCTCCATGTTTTAACCGCTACTTGAGGGAAGTTCACTTGTGAAAAGTTCGAAAAATACTTTTCCCAAGTACTTTTTGTATCTTTGAGTGAAGTACCACCTCTGCCGATCAAGTAGAAATAGTATTGAGAGGAAGTAGCTTCACTACTTTCTGCTAGTACTTTTAGTACTTTTCACAAGTACCAAAGGTACTGGTGGAAAGTAATTTTTGAACTTCTCTCAAGTACTTTTATGACTTAATTTCAGTACTTCCAATTGTTTACTTCATTGAGAAACGCGAATGTTATCGACGGATAAAATGAACTTTCTCTTGCATTTTTGTAAACAGAAGTGTTCAGAGAAGATATTTTGTAGGAAAAAATCAGTAGATTGTGATTTTTATGGGTGCTTTCCAAACCGAATTGATTCCCAATGTTCAGAATCAGAATTCATGTTATTCTGAACATAATTTACGATTTGAAAAGCATAATTTACCCGTTTGGGAAAATCGTAAATTACGTCTTTGGCAACGTGAATTACCATTTCAAAAACGTATTTTACCTTCAGATTTTTCTGTGTTCGTTTGTGCTTCAAAATTTGGGTCTTCATTTGTAATCTTGAATGAATTTCTAAAAAAATTATGAGTACTGGATTGGAGTACTATTGCTACTTATATTGAGTTCTGTTGGTACTTTTGAAAAGAATCAGCCAGGTGCTCAGTACAAGTACTTTTTCTAATTGTCCCGAGTAACAAAAGTACTTGTGACAAGTACCGAGGTATGATACTTGCATCCAGTTCTTTTGTGCCTTCGAAAAAGTACAAAATTTGCCTTTTTCCCAGAAACCCTTTGGTACTGGGTAGAAGTATTTTTTCTACTGATCAGGAGTAATTAAACCACTGTAATAAATTAAAAAGAAAAGCACAAAACAGAATAAAATACATTTAAACAGCAGACTTTCACTCGTACTCAGCATCTATTTTCTAAGTCTATTCAAAGTATTTTCTACCCATTTTCAAAGTCGTTCAGCGATTTTTTTCAGTTAAAATGCTCTTCAACATTTTAGTGGATATCAGAACTTCTATTTAAGCCCATTCGAGGTTACTGAAAAAATTTGGAATAGTATTTAAACTTTGAAGATCTAAATTCACCAAGGAGAAAAGGGTTTTATTTCCAGGGCCTCGTCCCTAATTTTTAGCCATCTATTTCCATCACGATTTTATCACTCACTTTTAGTGACATTATCACTCGTTTTGTAGTGGCACCATCACTAATTATCAGGGGCCGTTTTTAATTTTGAGGAATCCACTACCAAATTTCACTAATACAATCACTGGAGATCAGATATTTTAATCAGTGTTCAGCATTACGAATAATTGATGACAGATCCATAAAAATCAGTGACGTGTTCCCAAAAATAAAAAATTATGTTTCTCTGCCTGTGATTTTCAAATGGCTAAGTTTTCAAATGTTGAAATACTTTTTCTTATGAATCAATAATATATGTTACAAACAAATTATTTGTGAGCATGTGTTTTAATTTTACGTGAGACATCACCATAAAACTTCTCAAACCCCTTCCAATTCAACATATCAAGTAGATTGGAACAATAAATTCCCTGCAGAAAGAAGAAGAGAATACCGGAGGAACATGCCTCTCCATTTGAAATGAATTTTGACGTTCGAAGTGTCTGGAAAACAGGTTGGCATGGAAATCCATCACGTGAGGAGCGTGACCATGGAACGTAAAACGTTTTTTTTCTTGTAAAAGAGGCGAATAGTATGATGCCGCCGTATATGTTCTGTGCGTTCAGGAGTACCCGCCCAATCCATATTTATAATCAACGGGACATTCAAAAGAAAACTGGTTTAAAAGGCAACACTGGTGTTAAATAGTTTACGTGTGGATAGATCCTGAAGAAAGAGACGGAATAGTTGACAATTCAAGAGAAATAACTGATGTCATCTTTTTATCCCTTAATATGTCCACTTTTCCTGAGTTTTGTGAACAGTGATCTAAACATAATCCATAATACTCTTGTTGCCGTGGAAAATTTGCCTTTAATTTTTATACTCACTATTTCTGTTTCAAAATGCGTAGAGAGAAATGGAAATTTTTAACTATGGTATGAACGTCATAATAGTATATTTCAACGCTTGTGCGTAAAGTGAAATTTTACGCACGTTTCCCGTCCGCAAAATTCCACGTTTCACACGTTGTGATGAAAAATAGGGATCCACACTCGTGGGAAAAGTTTTCTTTCACGCTTAGGGCGGGAGTACTCGCTTTCGGCGAGCCCTACACACATCCCACGGGTCAAAAATAGTATTTTTCCGGCCTGTTGCGATGGGGTTTTTTTACTCGTATGGTTGGCCAGTCCTCGCCTACGGCTCGGAGGCCAACGCCACACGAGTAAAAAACCCCATCGCAACAGCCCAGGAACAATATTTTTCTGTAGTGATTTTCAAGTTTTCGAGTTTGGGAAATATGTAATACCAATTCCCAGACGAGAAATCGTGAGAAGCAGTACAGCCACTGGGGTTTTCGACGAGTGCGAGGTTGGCACGCCGAGCCGAAGACCAAGCGCTAGGCGCGAACGATATTTTTCCGTAGTGACTTTCACTTTTCGCAGTTCGGGAAAGGGTCAATACCAATGCCCGGGCTCGGAAAAGTGAAGGTCTGTACGGAAGATGCTTTTACGCACTCGTATCGGAATATACTATTGTGTTATTAGTGCGTAAAGTTTCACTTTTTCGCATGCACATGTAACACATCCTATTTTTTTTTATGCTTGTCGAGTTCAATGTTCGGACCGGTAATGGGAGTAAAGTGATTATTTTTTAGCACGAGTGCATAAAGTTTCAGAGTATGCGAAAAACATCCGCTTTACGCACACCAAACTGTTTCGAAAAGTACACTTTTCAGGCAAGTATCACAAAATAGTATATTGTGGTACTAGTGCGTAAAGATCCACTTTTTCTCACGCACGTGTAACATATCCTATTGTTTGTAGTAGCTGCCGAGTTCCCTGTTCGAAACGATAGTGGGGGTAAAGTTGTTGTTTTTGTGCCCCTTGTCATCAAATATTATAATTATTGTATTTTCACACAGAGAAAAAAAATCGTGAAAAATGATGTGATCATACGTACTCGTAAGATAATCTGATCTTCCGGAAATTGTTACGTAAAAATACGGAAAGACTACGAAGCAAAAATTAAATTTTCTATGTCAGATTCGGAGAATTTTATGGATCGAAACGTAATGTTGAGGGGTTGAAACGTAATTTTCGAGTGACACTTCATGAGAATTTGCATAACGGACAGTTCGACAAAGCATTCACAGAGAAAAAAATTTGGATTTTCGAGAACTTTCTACCGATTCTTAGGAATCTATCGCCAATTATCGGCGACAATAGATATTACACTGATAGAACGGATTAGTTATTGTTAACGAATGGATTTTGGTTGGAGGTTAGGGTCTATTCGGTCTCACCAAATGTTCATTCGTTAATAGTTAATGAATGTATATTTGAGGAGCCTTGTTCGACTTCACTTTACCCATTCAAGTGAACCATTCGTTAACTATTAACGAATATTCATTTGGTCATATTCAACTCTACCATTCGTTAATAGTTAACGAATCTCGTTTGGAATAAATGAATCATTCTATCAGTGTGACATATCCCTGAGAAACCACATTTTTATCTCTGCGTTATTTATGCTTCACGATTACGCTTCACAATGTAATTTTCACCTGATTCCGATGATACTTTCTCTACAGAAAAAGGATTTTTATATGAAATGTCCCTGAGACTTTTTTTTCTTTTATTCACTGATTTACTAATTTCTTCTGCAATAATTTTCGAACGGAGGATCTCAGTCAATTCTTCTCAATTCCCTCGATTATAATTCTCTAATTACTTGCTAGGAGTTATAAAATGGAGGAATGCTCATTCTAAAATTGATTCTTCATTGCATGCACAAAGAAAGCAATTCATTTTTTTATTCTACTCCGAGATCCAAGTACTAATGCGGAGAGATAGGATTAGTGCGAAACCCGGTATCGTGCTACCACAGTGGTAGCAAAACATAGACACTTCAACGCCCACGTGGTGGAATTACATGACCCAGGAACAACGGTGTTGATGGCTTTCAAATCGATATGAGAGATTGTGCTG